TTTTTTCTTCTTCTTCGATCAAATGTTTTTTTAATTTTATTATATTCGATTCAAGCTATAAGCAATATTTTACATCTTCGCGATTTTTGTTAACTGTTTTATTATTGTACTTTTAAACCTAAACCGCGTTTTAATTCACGCCGGTAAGTTTGATTTCCTATTACATTTTTCTTTTATTTCATGATTTTTTTCAAAATAAGGTTTTTTGCGATATCGACACATATAAAGAATAATTTTTATCTTAGGATAATTATTCTTTATTCAGAAATATCGCATTATTTATGGCAATTAGATGTGTCTTGACAACGACTATTTGCTTATACCATTCTTGTTTCTCTACCATTTAGTTTTATATTTTTATTTTATTCATGTTTTGCATGTTAATTTGTGTATATATATATATATATATAGATTGACCACTAAGGGTCCTTTTCCTGATTTTGTTTTAAATTGTATTTGTCATCTTATGAAAATAATCCAATTTGAATACTATGTTGAAACCAATTTTTAAGCTGTTTTTGTACTTTTTTTCCATCAAAGCTCTAAATGGTAAGTGGTTCTCCACAAATTTCCTTCTTCATCATTTAACAAAATTTAATATCAAATAATAATAACCTAAAAGGATGGTTTGGATTGTATTAAGGGAAAAAAATCACGAAAGATGAAACCTAGTTTAATAGGGGATGGTCTTATATAATGCCGACGTCATTTTTAATTTACCTTGTTTAAAAATACAAAATAAAATTCGTGGAAAACCTCTTGTTCACAGATTTCCTTCCAAATTTACGCGTAAACAGAAAATTTCTAGACATTTTTTAAAATTTTTTAGATGCTCAAATAATTTTTTTTTTCATAAGTTCTGATTCAGAACAAAGTTACGTAACGTTTTAAACAAATATTTTATGAATGATAGATAGTAGAGGAAGATTTTAAATGCTCATATCTTGCTCAATTTAAAACGAATTTTTTCACATTTTAGAATATTTTTGTCATTAATTAAAATTTTGTTTAGTTTTAGGAAGGTTATTTTGAAAAATAATTGAAATTTTTAAAATTTAAAAAAAGCCAGAGAACAAAGCAACGTAAAGATATAACCTTGTCGTCAGCTCACACGATTATATATCTAAAATAGTGTTTTACAATGTTGTATTAATATTAAAAAACCAAACTCAGTGGCGCGACAGCCCTTAGAGGGCCAGGGCCTACTGGGCCCATCTCAGTTTTCTTGACCTTAGACTCTGGAGTGCAGGAGCAGAAATTCCGGTCAGGTGGTCAGCCGAACGCGGAACCCCCAGTGTTTAGCTCCCAAGCATGCTTGGTACTCATTTATCGACCCACTGAAAGGATGAAAGGCTGAGTCAACCTTGTCCGGCCCGAGGATCGAACCCAGGACCTGTGGCACGGGAGCACGAAGCCACTACCACTCAGCCACCGGGCATCTAATATAGCCGAAGCAAAATGTATCTAAACAATAATGTATAGAACGAAAAAATGACAATTTGGAACAAAAAAAACATATCAAGCAAAAAACATAAAAACTCCAGAAAATACAAAAAAAAACGGGAATAAAAGAAGAAGAAAAAATAGGAACATATAGAGTGAGAAGCGAAAACAGACATCCCTGTACTTACTGACATCTCACAAAAATGTTTTAAAAATATTTTCGTTACTAAGCTACCAGATCATTACATATGTAATTAAAGCGCAAATAGATATATGTATTTCTTTAAGGTGGGTTCTTACTAAAGTACCGAACCGCATTTGATTTGCCTGTTCACTTGGAGTATCCCGAAACTGGATTTGCTCAAGGTAACTACATAATATAGTGGATAATATAAAGTTTATAATTAATTCAAAGGTCCAGTTTTGAATATAATATTTAAATTTCGATAAGGTTTGGAGAAAATAGAAAAATTTATTGAAAAATACAAAAAAAAAAGAAAAAAGAAAAATACATAAACTTCTAATATTTAATTAAAATACATGGTATTTTAATTAAATATTAGAAGATTTTTAGTCACGAATTTGCCATGATAAGGAATAAATTTTGATACCAAAAATTTTGATAAATAAATTTATAATTTTAACTCAATTATTTTGTATAGATTTTAATTACCTTGGTTGGATATCCGTTGTTATTTAACCGAAATTTTGGAAGAATACGTCTATTTTATTTTGGAAATATTTACTACGAATTCTTTTAGTTCTATTTATTTGATTAGATATTTTCTTCTTTTTTAAAAACAAACAAATTTAATATTAAGAGTGTAATTTTTTTCAAAATAGTGTAGAAATAAGTTAGCTAAGAGAGATGAAAAATTAGATCCTTATGGTATTCCGTCAATTTGAATATGTTTTCCATTGCAAAGATAATTATTAAAAAACAAGTATTTCACTTATAAATTCACAGTAATCAAATTTGCAATTAAGGAATATTTTTATAATTATAGTTATACCTCAAATGTGCAATTTAGAGAGTTGAATGTTTTTGAAGTGAATTTTGGAAATCAAAAGTCGGGATAGATTTAATTTTATTTTGTTCAATAATAAAATATATTGATTACAGGTGATAATCCATGAAAAAACTTTCCATAATACTATTATTAATAATTTTATTTGAGTAGTTATAGAAAATAGTGTCAGGTTTAGTTAGATAAGCATTAGATCCATAAGTGATTATTCTAAATTTGGTAAGAATTTCTGAAAATTTAGACTGATAATTAAGTATGGAAATTGTAGATTATTGATTTAAATTTTTTACCTCTTATAGAAGATTAAATTTTTTTAATATTATAATATTACTGTTTAAATTAATCAGCGTGAAAATTAAACCATTTATAAATTCTGTTTGGTTCTTTTGAAGTTGCTTAATGTCAAGATCAGTTTTAGAAAGATTTGTTTAATTTTTATAGTTATTTTAGTTTCTTTCATTATTAAAAATATAGTTTTTAAATCAATAATAAACAGTCGTAAAAGTAAAGAGTTGAAATCTTTAAAGATTATTGAGATCATTATAAAAGCATTTTCGAATTTATTAATGGACGTATGGAAAACGGGTCTAAATTGTGTGACATTTCTTAATCTTATGCAAAGGACCTGTAATAATATGTTCATGGTATTTACCAACACAAATTCTAAATATTTCTCTTTTTCACAGTGACATTCATAATGGGATATACTCATTTTTTTCCTAACATTATTCCAATTAAAAATATTTCTGTCCAGAATTTTATTAAATTTATAGATTATTTTTACCTTTTTTTTTATCCTTTTAAACTTTTTTAAAGGAAACAAATTTCTAAAATTGTCAAGTATGTAAAATACTTTAATCTTTTTCAATGGCAGAAATTTAACAGATGATTGCTTAAGATGAAAATTTTGCTTCGATTAATTTTTCAAAACAGAGATCATGTCTCACAAAAAGGTTTTTTACTTATTTATTCTTTTTAAAAAAGAAAGCTTTCCTAGAAAAAAAAAGCTTTCTTCTTCCTTTTGAAATTTATCAAAATATAGGAACAAAAAGGTTCTTTTTATTTATTCATTATTTTTCAAAAGCTTTCTTAGAAGGCCATCTCCATTTAAAATTTATCAAAATATGGGAGAAAAAAGGTTCTTTATTTATATTTTTTAAAAAACAAAAAGCTTTCCAAGAAGGCCGTCACCTTTTGAAATTTAAATGTAGGAACAAAAAGGTTTTCATTTATTTGTTTATTATTTTTTAAAAGCTTTCTTAGAAGGCCATTTTCAAAAGAAAATTTGAAAATGGCCTCTTTTAGAAAGAAAATTTTTGCTCTCTTTTTCATAGAAATCATTTATAGAAATTAATCAAAATATAGGGAAAAAAAAAGTTTTTTACTTGCTTATTTTTTTTAAAAGCAAAAAGGTTTATTATTCATTATTTTTTTAAAAGCTTTCTTAGAAGGTTATCTCCTTTTGAAATATAGTTTATTTTTGCTCTCTTTTTCATAGAAATCATTTATAGAAACGTTTTATAAGAGCATCAAAGGTAGCCAACTTAGAGCAGCGCATGAATATGTTATTTAAAAATACACCCATTGTATGACTCAAATAACAAAATTGAATGGCCATTATTGAAGCTAGAATTATAAGAAAAGTAATATTTTTTTCAACTCATTAGCAAGATTTCAAAAAATACAATTACATTGACCTCACGTGACATCTGTGTGCTTTACATCATATACTGAGATTAAATCTCTGTTACAACTCATAAAAACTAAATAAGAAAACAAAATCTATCCTATTTTAAGAGAAAATTACTAGCTACTATAAAAAAATCTTTGAGCGTCATATTTAAAATTAAAAAAAAACTAAAAAAAAAACTCTGTAAACTTTTTTTTTAAAAAACTCTCTCACCCAGAGCTACAAATAGGGTTTCCCATTTGGGGAGGTATGTTTTTATTTCAAGTAAAATAGCAGCTGAAATAAACAAATAAATAAACAAATAAAATTCAATTAAATAGGTAGTTCTAGCATTTAAGTTTTATCACTTATTTTGAGAGAAAAATAGCATTCATGCACCCCATTAATTTAAAATAGCTTTTACATTCTTATTCAATGAGAGATCAACACTATGAGTAGGACTTTTTTACTTAACAGAAGTGGTAGCCAACACTAGAAAATATCCCTCGAGTTTGAATGAACGTATACTACCACCTCTTTAATAGAAATAATAATAATACAAAATGGTTCCTGTTCGTCTATTCGGGAAGGATGGGTTAAAGGGGAAAAAAACAGTCGAACTAACAAACGGTAAAACTTGTAATTGATTTTTAAAAAAAAGTTTCAATTGACTTCAATTCAGCGATATTTTGCCTCAAGTTAAAAAAAAATTCAAACATTTTATTCTACAATAAAAGTTCTTCTTAAAACAATTTGTATACTTCATAAAAAATCACTGGAACTTAAAAGAAAATAATAAATTATCTATAAAATCTTTTTTTAACTATTTAAACGAAACAAAATCAAAATCACTCAAAACTAAATTCGAACAAAAACTTACCGAAATCTCTATCATAACTGTAAAATGTTCATAACACTGAAAAAGTTTCAATTCAAAAACCCATTAAAACTGTGGAAGAAATATCGTTTGAAATGAATCATTCCGAAACCGTAACTGATGTTCTACACGAAAAATGGTTCGTGTGTCGTTTGGGAGGAGAGAGAGAGAAAATCTTAACTGTAGCGTAGAACGCCTTAAAGGGTTCATTCAGATCATGAATAAGGATTCTTCACGGTCCAGTGAAATTTCCAATCCTTTCAACAAAAATCACCATTTTTTTTTTTCTTTCAAACTCGAACATAACCGAAAATTAGTAATTTTTACTTCATTAAATAGTCTTTGCGGAGGAATTATGCTTCCTTCATTTGGCAGTAACGAAAGGGTTGTTATTCTCTCACCCAGTAGTTCTGCTTCGTTACATCAGATCTCTAATAAGAAAGATCTAAAAATATTTAGTGGATCTCTAATCCGGTGAGCGTACATAATACATTCCACCTGTCTATTTGAACATGATCGCAACCTTCCATCCCCCCATCCAATTCCTACTATTAGTTCCCACTCTCCCTATATCTTGTTCAAATTTTCTATCGTTCATAAAATACTTTTTATTCATTCACTCAAGTACAAATACACTTGTTTTGATGTTAATACAGTTTTTTCAAAATATTAATTGATTCATTTAATGGGGATGAGCGAAAAACGACATGGAATTTTCTGATGGGTTAAGCGTTACTCAATGTTTTACATTTTACTATAAGCGATTCTGTATTTCACAGATTTCAAAGATAACATCAGTGATCATTTGTAACTTATAGCTCGATTTGTACAAAAAATAGTTTATTTTTATATTACTTAATAATAAATGAAATGTCTTAAAATAGAATGAGACTAACAAAACAAATGCTCAAAGTAATAAACTTAAATTAGCAACTTCTTTAAAGTAACTATTGCTTTAAAGCAATACTAGAAAGCTTACACGAGAAGTCGCTTATTTGAATAAAAGATTATAGTTTTACAAACGATAGTATTCTCGCTTTTTTTTTTGCACATTTTTTAAGGCAAAGTAATTTTAAATTATTCGCTTTAGGCTATATATAGCGCCATCACATTTCGTCAATTACATGTCAAGGTCTTTCTTTAGAAACAATTTTTATAAAGAAATGTACCATAATAAATAAAATACGTAATTAATTTGTTTGATATAATAATAATTTTTCCTTTTATTTTAAGGCAAAATAACATTTGCTGCTCAATAATTTGCTCTGAAATTATTAACTATTATTTAAATGTGTGGGTACATTTTTATAGAACATTTGTAAGCTATGAAATATGACTTACATAAACGATATCAAATATATTTCGGAATGGAACACAATAGATGCAAAGTCCTCTTTCAATGGTTTTTAGTCAATTAAATTTAAACAAGTTATATCAACAAAAACAAAAAAAATTTTTAAAGTCAACTTAAGTCAACAAAGAAAATTTTTATTTTAGTTACTTTTTATTAAATAAATACAATTTTTTCCCCATATTAAACTGAAATGAATGAATTAAATTTAATGAATGAATTAATAGTTGATAAAACTGTGTTTACATCATCCACTACAAGTTTTTAAAAAATGTATTTGAACTTGAAAAGATGAATTAAAAGTATTTTAATTGAAAATTTGAAAGTATTTTAATTGATTGAAAGTATTTTAATTGAAAATTTGAACAAGATATATAGAGAGAGTGTGAACTAATAGTAGGAATTGAATAAAAAAAATTAATTAAATATGATCAATACAATATATTGTTTTCTCAAAATTTTAATACATCATTGTGAACTTACTTTTAAAATATTTTTCTGACTGTATTTAAAAACAGCAAATCGTTTTCTCAAGCTATATGCAAAGGGTGAAATCGAAGCTCTAAACCTCATTTTATTCGTTTTAAATGGCAAATAAGGTTGGTTTTTTTAAGACCTTGAAAATCTTTCCTGTAGTTGCGAAAAAATATTTTTTAATTTCTTGATTGTTTACAGCAATTCCACCCTTTCTTTACATTCAAAATATGATAGAGAGACATTATCTCACTACGGAGCATGAAAATTCAAAATTATGATTAGAATATCTCGTATTTATGTATGCATCATTAGGTGGAGCAATGTTCCATTTTAATGTTAAATAATTTTGTTGTAAAATTATTAAGATTCAGTTGAAAACAGAGAACGAGATGCCTTCCAGCGTATATCATCAAATGAAGCATAAATCCTGAAAGATGCATTATTCAGGTTACTCATTCTCTCTATTTCACGTTAAAGTAAACTATTTCGGATGATTGTTTAGTTCATTCTGTTTTCCGATTAACAGAAATAAAACGATGAAAGTTGTCCGAATTCGTGGTTTTCTTGAGAAAAACCACTCCAAACTAATTGTTTCTTTATTTTAAACAATATTCATTTTTATCCTACAGTCTTTGGCTTATATAATAAATATTCTATATTTGTATGATATATCATTTAATTTATCCTATCATCGTATTTATATGATATATTGTCTCATATAACCCATTGATGCACGAACCCATTGATGCAAGTGCAAACTGGTTTATAGTGCCTCTAATAATATGGCCGGGGACTGTACATGTAAATATCTTTACATGTTATCTAAATATTAATTTTCGAATCCTTGCCGAAAAACAATGCACAAAAAACTTAAAGAAAATAAAAAAATCTGAATAAAAACCCATGACATGTGTGCTTAAATATAAAGAGTATTGCCTCGTGCAAATCATGTAATCATTTAAAAACTACAGTGAATCTAATCATTTGATCTGATACCTGACATTCTGGCCATCAAACAGGTTACCTTGATTAAGAGGACGCCACACCGCGGAAGAAAATTTTACATCCTCCTTTATTATTCATTTAAAATTTAAAGTGCATAAAAAGTGAGTTCAGACAATTCTAGAGTAAGCCATGGAAGTTTCAAATACTGAAAAGAACATTTTAAAGTATACAAATGATGAGATGTCAACTTAGGATGACACAACTAAGAAGTTCTCTTCTAATGATTTGTTTGCATTCTGAGTATTCTTTTTTCAGCCACTAAAATTTCATGACTTACTCTTGGTTTGACTGAACTTACTTTTTCTTACTTTCAAGTTTTAGTAATGAAGGCGAATAATAATTTGCGACGAAATTTTTGTTCCGCGGTATGGCGTCCTTTTAAGCAAAAAACTAGTGACTTAACCGAGGATTCTTAAATAAGACATTAAGGGTCATACTTATAGTATTCGAACATAATTTAACACGTTTTATGACAATCACAAAAAAATTCTTTAAATAGCTTAAAATACTTAAATAAAAAAATGAGTCATTTTTAATACCGATGGTTTTTTTAAAAAATATCAGTACACTGTTTTTATCAAATATCGTTTAAAAAGTCTTCTGAAATTAAAATTGTCTGGATTTTTTATTGATGCATTCATTCATTTCAATTTTAAAAAAGTCTTTAACTTCACATTATTCAAAATTATAAGCAGCGTTTAAAGTTTTATATTGTATATATATATAGTACCGCTCAAAAGTATCAGTACACCTAGAAACTTATAAAAAAAAATGGCAAAATTCAAAGTGTCATAACTTCTTTAAAAATGATCAAAAATGCTTCTGCTTTATCTCATTTTGAAGCTTAAAATCTCTACTTTTATGTACTTTAATTGTTTTTAATTAATATATTTTGCAACTTTGTACAATTACACTCTAAACAATCATAGAAAATTGTATTAATTTTTTGTGAAGTTTGACGCGATGTACGGGCACAAAGGGGTTAGATATTGTTAATTTTTATTATACCATTGAAAAATTTGGACTTTTAGCTTTCATTTAAAAAAAAATTTTCCAAAAAAACATGTTTTTTGACGAAGTTATTGTCAAATAAAAAAAAAG